TGTAATAGGTCCTTCAGAACAAACGTGCTCAGTATCGGTCCGAAAGTTGATATGTATATTTGACCTGAAATCTACCAGCTACTCTGAAATAACCACGTTATATTTACACTCCATGAATAATTATCGAATGCCATATTGGTAACTTTGGCAATTCAGAAGAAGGGAACTATATGCTTAAGTATCTAAAGTTACTGAGAATGAAATATCGCTCGGTTGGAAATCAACATTGAATAGGTAAAATTACGTATATCACCTCTACGGCCACAATATATTCTCTGCTTTTGCCATTATAGGTCATAGTATAAAGCGCCACCGGCACTGCGCTCCAGAAACACCAGCATGTTCGTGTAGCTGCGAAAACGAACCTCTCATAAAAGTAGAAATATGTCAGCAAAAAAGGCCAAACAGCTTTATATGGAAACTTACAAATGATAACGAGCGGACTACATGCGATGAATTGGTTCATCACATTCAGATTCTGGTCTCTCAAGAGTTGTGCATGATGTTGATTTATAACTTGTACCTGAAACAAGGAAAACCTGTAAGCAATTTGGAAAAACTGAGACCACTCATTCTGAATCGCCCCAAGAATCAAAATACAGTTTAAAATATATAATGGTTACTTATTACTAGACAGTAGTAGTGGAATACAGTGCACATCAAGTCAAGTTTATTAAGGAAAATATAGGCAAATGCCTTTGAACTCCTTTTGAACATGAATAGGTATTGCACGTTTCGATATTTCAAATTCAGTGACGAGGAGGGATGCAAACGGTAAGATATGCAACTAATGGGAAGTTTCCATTAAATATATTCAACTGCCTCTCATCGGATAGATCACCAGTTTGAACCGATACTTCACAGCACAGCTAAGAGGCCAATAAACTGAATCCAACGAAACAGTAGCTTCGTTTGTTGTAGATTCATTGTTTACATCAATTCCATCGGATTTAACAGAGGAATCATTGTGTATCACCCTCTCTGTAATATCGTGTTAAATATTCAAACGGATTAAGTGCAGTTTCGGGGTGATCGACACTTGATATCGCGTAAATAATAAAAACTAATGTATTACCGGAAAACGTTAGGAATGCAGAATACGCGTATTTCTAGCTTATTAGCTGTCTTCAGCTGCACATACCCAACTTCAGTATAGCACAAGAAACTGCCGCTACACTCGAGTTTGGTGGTAATGCATTGGTTACTGAAACTCAGCGAGTAACAACATTGTTTCATCCTTGAGAAAAATTAACTTGAAGTGTCAAGTCCCCTCGCCAGACGAAACAGCCAGGGTTGGTGAATCCT